TATTTCGATAATAGCCGTTTCAAGGAGATAATTTAATTATGAATTTAAACAATGAGACTCCTCCGAAGATTGACATTTCTGGATATTCTTTGACAGTTTTGAAACGAGAACACCCAGCGAATTAATCCGAATTTCAATCAGATTGTCACGGTCTGCTCGTACAACATTGTAATTAATTTCCGAACGGAACCAGCATTATATGCTAGGACCATTCTATTCAAGAAGCTATTCTCTGCTCTCCATATCTCATTACCCCTTATCACATGATGCACAGGGAGACTATGGACTTAATAAGCATAAGTGCCTCCAAGTGCACGAGAATACTGGATGCTATACCGCACGATTTCTTATGTAATTATCACCAGTTTTATAATCCCGACCTGTTCAATATTATCGTCGTGCACTTAACGTTACACGAGTATCTCCCTTGATATTCAGAACTACGTTAAGTATCAAGTGGTATATATTTGTACCGTAAAAAGTTGCCTGAATTTCAATTAGATAATTTCATCATTTGTTCTATGTTGTTTACTTTCCTTGCTGTATTGTTCGACACATTTCCTTTACATTTTGTCGAGGCATATAAATATTGCGAGCCTTTCTTTCTAGTAACCTATTTATGTATTATTACCGACACGATTTCTAAAACGTTACAAATTGTTACAAATTACGAGGCAACGATACAATCGTGAAAATACCTTTTTCATTCAATTTTTTGGAAGCAAAACGTTCTCATACACATGCTCCAGAGCCAAACTAATTTTCGCTGAACAACAATATGGCTTGGAAATCGTGCTGTATTGTACGTAGAACGCAATCAGCAGTGTATAAAAAGTAAAAACCGAGTGAACACGTTATGTGACAGTTGCATGGATTTTTAAAATCATTTATAAAAACTATTTATTTTCGCATTTAATTCCGCATTAAATGTTATCCCCGTCAAACATTAAATTAAAATAAGAAAAAATTACCGTCAATTCCGGCAACACGTTCCAAAAGTGTTACTTATGATAAATTAAACTCACGTTTTCTAAGTAACATAAGACGATAATGTAGCTTAAATTAATATATTATTTGATAATTCTAAGGAAATTTTCTTTAATCGATGTATAATTCGTGCTTTCACAAGCAAATGCATCTACAAAAGGTTCGTAAAGCGTCTTAAATACTTCATTAATAATAACAAGTTTCTGAAAACTTATGATAATTTAATTACATCGATATCCTACTTCCAAAGATGCGAATAAAGCCCTTGCAACCTGACATAACGTTCTGCTTCCCTACAAACAATTAGACTGGGTTACAGAATTCTTATATGAAAGGTGATATACTCTACAGCTTAATTAAGAGTAAGCAATTTGAAATGTACGCGGAAGATAATACCTTCGTTTAAATTAGGTCACCAGTATATTAACTGTGAAACGCTAACTGTGAGGTAGAAAAATCTTTCCCTATTCATCATAAATGTATTATTTCCTCTACTAAAATATTTACCTTTAGAATATGTTAATAACAGAAAATAATTTTTAGTCAAGTTCAAAATACTCAATTTCTATCATAACCTGAGAAGGTCGTCAGCTCGAAGAAAAAAAGCTATCATTATTTGAAAAACACTGGAGAAATAACCCAAATATTCCAAAATGAGATTTCTCATTGTCAGTTTCACTTCCAATCGTCGACATATGTTATACGAAAACGAGAATTCCCATTACCTATCGGCAATGTGCTAAGTAACAGATATTCAGATCCATAAGAACGAAAGTATACCACATGTTGGCCTGGGTTACCCAGCAGCGGAGAAACCGAATCGAGATCTTCTTCGATCGGTATTCAATTTCTAGAGTCGTAGAGATAACCGGGGCTAAAACGAAATCCATGGAACGTTTCATTGTCAGCATATGCGGCAATAAAACGAAAGACGAGCCATTAGCCGGCACACATGTGGCGCGCGGCCAGCCGGCGGTAGTGCGTGGCATGCATGGGCATTCGTCACTTTCTGAATGGATTTCAAAAGCGCGTGAGTCAGCCCCTTCCTGGAAAGTTGATGCTATTTCAGCGTGTACGGAAAACTAAAGCGAAATAAAGCATGACTAACGACTCTCCGGCAGATTTACGTGCGTGGCTAGCAAACTCGGAAACCCAGCGACCCCAATGCGTTACGCACCCTGGCACCCTGGCTTTTGGATTTGTTTTTCGTTTCTCGCTCTTTTTTCATTTTATTTTTGTTTTCTTTGTTTTTGTACGCGTTTATCTGCTATCGAATGTTTAAACTTTTAAGCAATTATAAAGAAAATTCCAACATGTTTTCTTTTTTTTCTTATTTCTTTTTATTTCTTTTTATTTGGTTTCTTCTCTTTTTCTCATCTTTTGTCTCACAAATGTCGCTCGAGATACTTCTGCACGAAATGCGTACAGAGACGCGTGTATCGTGTCACCTGGGGGCCCTTTCTTGGTGTCACCATTTACCGGTCGCGTTCCCGTGTAACCGGGCATATAGCTCCTCTCCAGGATAAGCGGGATTTTCTATCTTACGCGGATTCACGCGTCATGGTGTCGTAGCAGACAGCCACCGAAAACATTGCCGACGTGAGGAATTTTTGTACCGAGATACGTGTTACGCGATACGTGATGCGTCTTCGATTTCAGGATGTCTCGCAACCGAATGAATTCGCGCAGTCGGTTAGCAGCGTCTAGTGGTAGCAGAGAATGCGGAGAATGTTATGGTCGAGTAGCCCCAGGTTTGATTCATCCTTTTTTAGATTCTTTTTTAGAAACGCGAGTGACACAGCGATGACAGTGGTCCGCTTTCAACGAATTTTAACACTGTTTCACTTCTCAAATTTTTATTTCCTTTTTGTTTTAACAAACAAAAATACCTTTAATATTGTCAAAAAAACCCGACGATAAATCGAAATGACAATTCTTTCATATTTTGTTTGAAATCAGAAAACTATAGCGATGGAAAAACATGATAACACGATTATTTGTTAACAAATAATTTTCATAGAAATATTGTACCTATATAGTGTAAATTACACAGAAGACTACTTAAAATGCATACTACTCAAAGCAAGAGCGTTTTTTAAACTGGAGGTTTAAATGCACTTAAGTAGAAAGGGTGCATTATCTCAGAAGCAGTGAATGGAATTTAATCAATGAAACATTTCCGGTATCTCTTTAAAGGATCATTAATTTCATTAAGGGCCCTGCACTATAGTAACTTTGAGGGAAATTAGAAAGTATGTTGAGGATTATATAAAAAATAGCACAGTAAGTAGGTTAACTTAGATATCTAGATTTTTTATAAATTTTAAAAGACTTAATGTCAAATCACGAAATTTACTGAATTTCAGATTTTATATAGGAATTTATACAAATGAGATATATATCTATTAAAAAATTCGCACTAAAAGGTACCATTATCCCTGCAAGTACTATGTATTTTATATAAGAATATTTTCTATAGATAACATACAATTTACTACGATTATCACCACGAGCACAAAATATTACCTAGATGTTACACCTATACTTAAATCACTGTGTTTAATTATGTAAAACAGAAACATTTTCTGTTTTCTTCAAATATAACACATAAGAACTATTAAGTAGAACGCATATATGTATTATTCCTTTATAGCGTGTATCAATGAAATTCGCTGAAAGTATAGAGATGCCTATAACCTATACATAGTATACTTAAGACCTAAATAACCGTTTATAACGTAAAACGTTTACAACATGAAAACCTAGAAACACAACTGAAGGAATCGATAAAAGAAACAGTGATTTATTCTAACGCATAATCTACGGTACACGTTGGAACACCTTTGAAAGGCGACGTTAGAGAGCGTGTTAATTCGAAAGGACTGAACACAATCAGGGCATTTTGTAACGGTTAGGGAACGACCGCGTAGGATCGGCACTGTTTTTTGATTGGTCGACTTGCTCCCGAATACCTGCCAACTACAGGTTCGATGTTCTGAACTTTCAAACGACAACGCGATGGTACTTCGTTTCGGAAAGAATCACTATAACTTTATGGTGCACGGCTTTTAAGTACTGTCGAGGACGCGAAAACATTGTAAATCGAACGATCAGGGCACGACGATCATTTCTTGCCGGTTGCTCACCGAAGTTCAAGCAACGAAAGGTCTAGAGAGAAAAGAGATGAACGTTCAAGTTCCTCGTACAGTGGTGGTTCGTGTTCCCAAGGCAAGATTCCATTCCGAGCGAGTCCAGGTTACTCGAAGAAAAGAGCGTGTTCGAATGTACCGTCTGCCTCGTGTGCCACGGAGGGAGGGGGTTAGTAAGGTAAGAGATCGACTACTCTTATTCGTGTACATCCCAAGAAGGTCATAGTCAAAGACGCGCGCGGAGAAAGAGAATAATCAAGTCCGGTCGAGGAAAGAAAAAAAAATATCAACACTTACTGCCATACAAGGTGGACGCTCTGCCCGCTGCTGGAAGCTGGAACGATCCTATCCGTCAATCGGAGCCGCCACCAGCAACCTTGCTCCTTTTCCTTCTCTGTTTCTTTTGGCCAGTTGCGAGAGACGCCGCAGCTGCGACACACACAAAGACAGAGAGTGGCTGATCCACGAAACGAAACGAACGAAACTACCAACGCCACTCCCGCTTAAATTCTTTTTCCCTCCGTTTTCACCGCAACGCGTACATCGTGTATATATCGATATACATCGAAGGCTCACGGAACGACTCGCAAATTAATCACACTCCGGAAATGATCAAAACACTCACTGTAAGTCGCCGCACGAAAAACACGGTTGCCTCCGCGTTACAAACTTTCTAGAGAAAAATCACGTGGTAACGCGTTCGACGAGTTACAGAAACGAAAAACGACAACAGCGACACTTGCGATCTATTTATCCACGTTCGATACCGCGAGAATCGATATCGATCACGAACTGAGGCGTGCGTCCCGATTGTCACATTACGTTGCACAAAGATAAAGAAACTGTCGATCGCAGAACACTGACGCGCGAACGAAATCCTGTACGAGCCCGATATAACACACGCTATGCGTCGCACATACAACTTTCGCGCGCTGCAGACTCCGGCAGACTGAGTGTCGAGAAAGTCTTGAGGCTAGCGTACGCGATTGCTGCGCTCCTGGCGGCCGATACCCGACCTACAGCGTCACGCGTCTTTGGCCGGTCTCTCTGTATTTCGATTCCTTAGAAACTCGAGTGTACGTTTCTCGTACGGGTTCTGCACATCCTAAATCAAATCCTTCGCGATTCACCGATGCAGAAATACCATCCGAAAGTAACAATCACGATTTTTGTAAATATAACGAGACAGCGATCCTGGTACGACGTTGTACATTTTATGCGTCGTGATCACGTTCAATGGTAAGAATCATTCATTCTAAATACATTATCCACTTCTTCAATATATCGTTTCAAGTCATCTTTTATAGACTAAAATTTGTATCTCATAAAAAGTGCCCGACGTTTCGTAGATTTTTTAGATTAGTTATTTAACTATGAATTGAAATCTATAAGATCAAAGTCAAATCTTTTATTGAAGTACCTCAAACTGCCACCAGAGCAGAGGTATAATTTAAGTTCATCGTAAGTCACAAGTATGTATATGTATAATATATCTAACTGTCAGTCTAGCATGTAACCACTAAACTTCGAGGTTAGTTTGTTTATCGCTCTTACCTCACTTCTACGAAGAAGTTCCCAAGCCCCCTCGGTAAACACGGTCGACATTCACACGACGGTACGCGGGTCGCGGTAAACAATCTCTTTTGGACTGTGAATACATACGAAGACGCATGTATAGTGTATACGCATTTGGCGAGCACGTGGCACGAGTTATCTCGAAACAGAGTCGAATCTACGCGCGACATGATGGACGTATGGTCGACTATATTTTTCTATTGTACAGGTGTAAATGTTCGATGAGTGTAATTTAAATCCAATAGTTCCGGCGCAAACTTTAGAATTCATCGATCGAGCACGCTTCGCTTCTATCGATTCGATCATGGGAATTCCTTTTAATCTATACGCGAGAACGCATCGTGTTGCCGATATTCTCGCTTCGTGGTCACTATTCAATACGAACTAACGTGGATGAATTGTACGTAACCATCGTTCGATATGTAGGTTATAACGTTACCTTTGCAATTGAATAATTGTATTTATTGCGACTTAAATCGTTAGCGACAGCTTTGTATTCGGCGTTTTTTAGGCTCGTGAAATGTTAGTCGGCAAGGCTGCCAAGCGTAAATAAACGCGTCAGAGACAATAGCCATTGTGGAACGAATCAGTCGTGGAAATGGATCGTTCGTTTTCTCTTCGTGTATGTTAGTGTTCGAACGCCGAAGTTACGATTGATCAACGTTAAATCAGAATGCAGAGGGAGTGGCAATGGCGGGCGAATTTTTAGTCGCGCGTATCTACCGTGCTGTTCGGGAGTACACCATTTATTAGTAGCAATTGAATAAATTACGTTCCATTCACCATAGTCCCCTCGTTCGTGTATTTCATGCATCGTCTCTCGACCTCATCCCATTCATGACAAAATATCTTTTTACGCTAATAATATCTCGCGTAGAATAGTTTTTTATATGATCTCTTCCCGCGCGTGAACAGATTAACCGAATCAACCATGATTTCGTGTAACTCCGAGAAATACCAGATAACGTCCCGTTATTCCGATCGTAGGATAAATTGTCCATGAAATATTTTTCCGTAGTGAATTGCGTACGATATTGACGATACGTATACAATGTAGAATTATTATGGTTAAAGGGTTTGGTGTTGCGCGTTTGAAAATTCAGTACGTTAGTCGGAAACGAGATGTAAGCTTTCGTATCCGCGATAAATTTTTGGTTTCGTAATACCAATAATTTTAACTTGTGCTCGTATATGTACCTTCCTTTCTTTTTGCTCTCCTTCTTTCCCGTATGCATATGTTCGGGGTGCGGTCAAAAATATTTTATAATGAGAAACAGAAAATGATTTCTTACGCAGAAATAAACAAAGGTTAGTGTCATTCAAGGTTTACTTTCAAAAATATATATATTATACACTTACATAGTTAACTATAAGGAGCATTATAGTAATCAATGGACCGTATTTTATATTAGCTATATAAATGTGTATGTATGCCTCGAAAACTGCCTCGGGCGAACAAATTTTATTCTGCTCGTTTGATTTGCTCTTTCATAAAGAATAATCTTCTGTCCGCGTGTATAACAATTTCGACTGCGCCATGTTTATACTCGAATATTTTTTTGTCAACAAGAGGGAAGAAGACATTTTGGTACGTATAAACGACTGCGCAGCGAGGTATTCGCTAAATATTTAATATTCGGATCGTTTCCAAAAGCCGGAAGTCATTGCAGTTTAATCGAATAAGCGAATCGATCAGAGAGACAGTTGAATGAAACGGCACAAAGAATACACGCGTATCTCAATATCGTGCATTCGTGCTCGCATTATGAGAATAGATATGGGAGAACAGGTATGAATCGGAAATCGTGTTGTATATGACATATTCCGTCGAAAGCATTCCATTAAGATGTTCTAATTGATAACGAAGTAGTTTCGACTTTATTGCATTTTCTTCCAGTTTATGCAGCTTTTATGACAGTCTTTCAAAGATGAAAGAAGATCGATACCGTCATAAAGTAGAAATATTGTTGATACATATTTATACCGATTTTACCCGCAGATGTTAAATCATTATCTCCTTTCTCTAAGGATTCTTCCTTTTAAGAACTTCTAATCTTTTTTTGTTAAGAACCTCTGTAGCAGACTTGTTTGATTCTGTTTACTAAGATTTGAATAAAAAGAGAGGACTTACACGGTTGTAGGTGCGAAAATAAATTACCAAGTGTTTCTTAATGAAACTTTTGCAGTAGACAGTACTGCGGTAATTTTTCAAGCCTGTCTCATTGTCTCATACTTGTCCTGTTCGCCATGGGAAGAGGATGAGCAGGGACTAAAACGTGAAGAATGAAAAATGTTTATGTTCTCTAGCAAAAACTGAGCGTAAAATTAAAACTTGCTAATAAAATCAGTTATAGCTGCGACGAAGTAATAAGTGTTATTAGATATTCCTTATTTATTTAATTATCGATTATTTAATTCTATACAAATGTCAAAGAATTATTTTTATTGTGATATTTTTAAAAAATTCTAAAAAAGCAATTCTTAAATCCTATGAATGGAAATTCAACGGAAATTAATAAAGTTTTCGAAGTATCTACATATTCCGCAATTTTCAAGTTGTTCCAGTTGCACGATATAACGCAACCCTAAGCTTAAATCAATTCCTGACATTTTTCAACACGATTAGTTAATTATAAGGCGTGAAAAATATACAAAGTATCTAACAAACATTGTTCCTCTGGTAATTGGTAAACTTTCATTACTTCAGTTAAATACAATGTCCATCCAAGTTTTTTCACTCATTAACCTGCTTGTATAAGTATAGAACTCCATGATGCACAACTTTTCCTCGTGTTCTATTGTTTTGTTTGTACTATACTTTAGTCGCGAACATTTTTGCGAATACTTTTTATCCTTCAACAGTTTTCCGTGGATAATTTTACATATCTTTAAATATCAAAATCATAGACGTAAATCATTAGTAGCAAATAATTCGAATAATTCACTGAACTTCGATTCTTTCGCATAATAAAATGATTTCTTAATTTCAGGATACCTCAGTATCAGTTTACTTGGAGCTGTTACAAACTATTAAGAGAATGTAATTAAGCTGAGAATGTAGATAATGCCGCGTATATTAAACTTGGGATAGTTGAAATATCCTACCATCAGCGTTTAACCACGTGAGTATCTTATTAAAGTATTTACGTAGCTATGTAAAAATGAAAGTTAACTCGTTTGTAAGTTATTATCCTTCGAGTTAACTTCTCTCAATTTCATCCCTTTTTCTTTTTTGTATTTTACCATAACTAATTAAATGCGTAAAGACAAAAATGTAGAAACGCGTTAAATTGAAGGAAATGAACTTCGTTCAAATTATTTTCAGTGACACGGAATATTGCGCAAAATACTTTCATACTTTCATTAGCATCGATTACGTTTCATTCAACAGATATTACGGTGAGTTGTCGCGTTTTGTTCGATCGATGATACTCGCGTTTCCAATTAAAACGGATTTGAAACTTGTGAAATTTCGTACGGTGGCCGCGAGCCCAGATGCGTCACCTAATTAATAGTCTGACATACACGTCCGATGATTCTCTAAATGCACAGAAGTGCTCGCTAATCGATTACTTCGGTGCATTAGCGTACAATGAGCAATCTATTGCAAGGAGGATCCCTGGCACGGGAACAATGTACTCATTCGGATGGAATAATGTACATTTCGAGTGTAAAGCGGAGATACTGTAAACTTCAACACACAATATATTTACCGAATTCGAATTATTATGAATCAGCTAGTGGAAGAAAGAAATTATCTCTTGCTTAGGATGCTCCGTTCAGTCAAGCTTAATTTGCACCCATTGTCGACAGACTGACGGATGAATGGAAGTCATTATTAGACGAATGTTCTAGAAATTGAGCAATCACTTCTTTTTCACCAGGATTACTTAAAAAATTCACGTGATCCGATAATGATAATATACGACTTTGGGTTTCAAGTTTCTTTCATTTTTCGATATATTCTTTCAATTACTAGACTTTAAGATCGTTTATGACATGAATGGTCGGTTTTATCATGCCAAATATTTCAAATATTCCTATTATCTGTGGATTAACCTTTAAACTTTCCAAATTACTCTCGTATTATTATATTAATCTGTTCACGCAATGAATAACAAATTGACCGGAATATCTTCTAAAATATCTCTATCGGATGCTCCAAATGAGTATTATCGAACAAAGCTTGAGAGAGATTACCCAAATTGCCATCTCGATCAGCGTAATCCAAGTAACTTTTCTTTCAGAAGTCGCCGTAGTTTCTTACGGTCGACCTTTAGCTGCTTTTTCCTCTATAAATGTTCATCAATACGACCGTCCTTTCTCATCTGTTCACCACTTTCCCTTCGTCATTTTCTACCATTACGTGTAATTTCGTTCCACCATAGTCATACTTTGAAGAGAAGAGACATAATACTGTATGGCTATGATGCTCACGATGCTCGTTCTCGCAAACGGAAGATATTCTCATTTCTCTCCTTCTTCCACTGGCCTATCTCTCTCTCTCTCTCTCTCTCTCTCTCTCTCTCTCTCTCTCTCTCTCTCTCTCTCTCTCTCTCTCTCTCTCTCTCTCTCTCTCTCTCTCTCTCTCTCTCTCTCTCTCTCTCTCTCTCTCTCTCTCTCTCTCTCTCTCTCTCTCTCTCTCTCTCTCTCTCTCTCTCTCTCTCTCTCTCTCTCTCTCTCTCTCTCTCTCTCTCTCTCTCTCTCTCTCTCTCTCTCTCTCTCTCTCTCTCTCTCTCTCTCTCTCTCTCTCTCTCTCTCTCTCTCTCTCTCTCTCTCTCTCTCTCTCTCTCTCTCTCTCTCTCTCTCTCTCTCTCTCTCTCTCTCTCTCTCTCTCTCTCTCTCTCTCTCTCTCTCTCTCTCTCTCTCTCTCTCTCTCTCTCTCTCTCTCTCTCTCTCTCTCTCTCTCTCTCTCTCTCTCTCTCTCTCTCTCTCTCTCTCTCTCTCTCTCTCTCTCTCTCTCTCTCTCTCTCTCTCTCTTTCTCTCTCTACGTGTACTTTTCATTGCACGTCATCTAAGTTATTATTCCCCTATGCCTACTCTCGCGCGTGCTATTTCCTTTTTTCTTTCTCTCTCTCTTTTTCTGTATTCGGCTCGTTTCTTGTATTTTGATATCAGGCTCTGTCTGTCTCATTCCGCGGACTGCTTCGTTAGTTTCAGCGGCGTTTGATTACGCGGCATAGCCGGAAGGTCCAATGTTTAATTTCTTTCTCTTTGCACGGCCTCGGGTTTCGTTGCGATGAATGGCAGCATAAGAAATAGTAAAGGTACGTTTACACAGGCAAGGAACGCGAAAAAGCACGCGGTCAGATACGCCGGTATTATGTGTGCGACCGCGCAACCAGGCAACCAGGACATTGCCGGTTCTTTTGTAATTCCTTTCTTGCCGGCTTTTTAGTTTTACGCTATTCCCCCGATTTCTTTTGTGACAACTCGGTAAAATAACGCGTGTATGCTCCGGAATTATGAGTGTCGACATAGTACGAACCAGTACAGGGACCCTTCGAACAAACGCGTGATTGGCTACTTTTGCAATACTGGAAACCATTACGGCAGAACTTCATTTATCTCGAGCTACTATCAGGGAACAAATAATTCATACAACCGAAGTTAATATTGGAAGAATTTATCGATCCTGCTTTCTACCTATGACACAGTTGCACTAATGATACAATATAGTTTGTGCAAAAGGTATGAAATCAGTCTAGCGTAAAGGTTGTAATTCCCTGATAACGGGGTTTCAAATTTTTAATAATCGAAAAGTGAAAGCATGTTTTTTCAGTAACTCAGTAACTTAACTTTTTCAGTAACTCATATCTGTTTCATGTCTAGTTGTCAGCTGTTTTTATAAGGAAATATGAAATCGTATAGTGATTATAAAGTGTGGTTATAACAAAATAGAAGAAAAATTAGTATTTAATTAAAGGTAATAGTCCATTTATTAGAACTTGCCATATGACAGATAGTTCATGTAATAGTGGCTTCCTAATTCCGTTCACTACGTACGATTCCTCATTCAAATAATAGGAATTCACATTTAGATAAGTGGATTCAATCTCACAGGACTTTCATTTAATCCGGCACTAACTAAAATTTCATTCCAATAAAGAGAGTTCTACTGTATCAGATTGTGCCATGATTATCTGTAGATTTTAGCCGAAGCTGAAAGTAAAGTTCACTCGAGTATCGATCTGTGAAAGTGTAATACTACCATTGTCTTATTACATGTTGAACTGGCCAGCCCAGTCATGGTTATTCAAAAACCGATTTCCAATGAAGTTGAAAATAAAATTCGATAATAACGAAATTCATAACCAATTTAAAAAATCTTCTTCGTGCTACGTTCTAATTAGTTGTCCTTGAAATATTACAGTTTCCTGCTGCATTAATTTAATACCTGTAACATTTATTGGAAAATTGTGCAATTTTTTTTAGAATTGCTACGTTATATTTATATAATACCGACATATTGAACGTCATTATTTCATTATACGTTTAATACATGTAATATTTACAATTATCTGTAATATACACTTTAATTCTTAATACAATCAATTGCATCGTATGGATTTAATTGTTCAATATGTTTGTTTACAATGCTTATTAATAGATTATGATTATTTTCTGGAACGAAAGATAAATTCGATTCACATGTTGAAATCATGAAAACGCCAATTCGAAATGGTCATGCAAAGATCTTGCAAAATAAAGCCGAAAAAACAATTAGGATGTTCGAAGAAGAGCGATTATTTGCACAGTCTATTATATACATTTTGAAATTGACGAGTCTCGATATAATGTGTAGCATTTAAGTTAAATTAATATCTATGAGTCAACATAGCGAACATCAAGATGTTTGGTGAACTATAAATATGAACAACATATTTCTATTCGTAAAATGACATTTATCTAAGAGAATATATCATAAAATGTAATTGAAGCCTGTGATGATAGTAGCCATAAAGAAATTTAACGATCAATAAAAAATTTGTGTAGAATTAAAAGAATATTTAGTATTTAGTAACAGAGAGCTATACTAATTTAGAAATTGATATGGAAGTCAGAAACGTTGGTAGGATTTAAATCTCAGCACGACTAAACATAGGTACTCCACTCGTCTTCCTTTACGATCACATTTCTTTTCCTTGGACAATGGGTTTCGTGCAAATGAAACGACATTCGAGACATTAACGTCGCGGCTAAATGGTAGAAATCAAGGGAAACAGTGGTGGCGAGGAGGAAACCGGAACGGACGCGATCACGGGAACGTAACGTACCATGGTAAATAAGTAATGTCGCGGGGGAAAGTGCACCGATAGAGTATCAGGTCGAAGGGAAGGAAGGAAAGAAAGAACTGGTCGGACAACGCGCCACGGAGCAGCCTGTAACGATAACCGGCTTCTTCGGTAAAGAATACAAATTGTTCTATTATTTCCACGAACAAAGAATCACGTTGTAAAAGATTCGAATCTGGAACAAGTCTTATCAAAAATAAAACCAACTGGTCGGTTTCAAAGGGATAGTGGTTAGTAAGGAACGGAATGAAAGAATGGCGCTATATCGACTCGTGGTAAGCATTCGAGATATTGATATTCTCGCAGTTGTATACGCTTGGGAAATAGAATGTTTGTTGGTAAAACTCGACTGCAGGCTATTTATTATTTAGATCGTAATATAATAAAGTTAATTAAATGATAACTGTCTTTTTATCTCTCACAAATTTGTAGATCGATCAATGTCGGATGATAAAGTTACGCAGCGTTAATATCCGGCCGTTAATGAAGGAAGGTGGCATTCGTGACAGAGTAGATATCGGTGGAATGTCGACAAATTAAATAAATCAGATGATTTATGATACAGATTTATTTGCTCACATGGTCATAAGTATATAATAATTGTAACCTAATACTCTGCGTATAAATATTATCGGCCCGGGAATTGGCCGTTTAGGCTGGTTAGAATCAGCGTTGTTACACGGTACCAGTTTGTGAACTCATTAGAAACAGACGTTTACCGAGAAAGTGTTGTTAGTATGGACAGAGTAGCGTTGGTATAGCGACATTCATGAACGACGTATATTCGTTGGAATGGTTTTTATTATTTAAGTATCTACACGCTGCTCCCGAGCCCGTATTCCCTGATCGCGCTCTGAATATGTAAATCCAACGGGAAAGTGACGTCAACGTCCTTGTGTTTGTAGCCATTCAGAAAGTAAGACGTTCCTTCTATGTTAGCTGGAAATTCCTTTGGTAAGAATTCCTTTTGTCGTGGTTCCAGATCAAATCCTGATATAGGATATTTCAACAAACTGCCATAAACAAATCACAATGTAAGTGACATGAGACTTACTGTAAGAATATATATACGTAGTACACTGCTATATTATCGATTTGATATCGTTAATGTTATAAGTGGAAAATACTTACACATACGTCGTTGGACTAATGTGGATACGAAGAGGTTCACTTAAAGATTCAAACTTATTAGCTAAGGTAACATTGTGTCCGAAAAGACAGTACCTCGGCATCTTTTTTCCAACAACTCCTGCTAGTACCATTCCAGTGTGAATGCCAATGCGCATCTAAAATATTATTTTCATTATGAATATTTCCCTTATTAAAAATTCAAGTAAAAATTGGAATTCTATCAATTAGAAGAAGACATTTGCAGTTTATAGTCTTCAAATTAAAAAATTTTAGGAAGGAATAATATATGTAACATTTATTTCGTGTTATTACCATTATATGAAAATTTCGAAATATCACAAACATGATAAATGAATTTTAAAATCGTAAGAATACAATATTTAATTATACCGACGTAAATTACAAAGTAATAAATTATTAACTGAACTATAGCCTGTATCGCATTAAATCTGGCGTAACCTACTTTGAAAGTTAATGCAGTAGCGCAGTCACCTTACTTATCATCCTTTCTGTCATCGCAAGCAAGGGATACTTTAAATGGGAAAAGTTTTAATAGTCTCATAAATAGGAATAGTAAACAATTAAATACCATATCCTTGAAATATGTGTATAACGTGGAATATTAGTTATTTCTACATGGGTGTATAGTATTTGATTAGAATTTTAACATTGTCGGAGACACTTTTAATTGATATAAGATTTATTAAAAAAATTTCCCAACTGAAAGGTATCTATCTTCAATGGGATACAAACCCAATAGTAAAATACATTAAGGACACGTAAATATTTCCTTACCCTTATTGGTTTACCCTTGTGAGTTAAATGGTGAGAACATGCTTGTATCATTTTTAGAGCCATCCAAGCTATTTGTTGTGCATGAATGTGAGTGTTACGATGAAGGCCACATGCAACGCAGTAGGCATCTCCAATTGTTTCCACCTGAAATTTTGATTGATTATCTTCATAATAAGTCTTAGAAGATAATACACTCATTTGCGTAAAATTCGCACTTTATAAATATCTAACTGGCCACAAAATGAGTCAAACTGTTCATAAAGGTTTTGAAGCATGTTGATAACCATCATTGGTGTCGCGGTAGAACAAATTTCTGTAAAACCGACAATATCACTGAAAAGCATCGTCACCTCAGGATAAGTTTTTGCCTCGATTGTCTCTCCTGAAAGAAAAATATGCAATTGAATTCAGATAAAATTACAATTCAAGATCAAATAAGAAACGAAAGTTAAAATACTAGGACTTTTCTATTGGTTTAACCGTAATTGAAATATTTACCCAACCATAAACGCTTTGCTATATCTGGAGGAAATATAAGATGAAGCAAGCTGACATTCTTTTCTCTTTCCGCAGACACAGCTAGGTTTGCTTCTTCTATAGAGCTTTTCAATTTATCCATCCGTCTTCTCAAACCATCCTGTATCAGAAAATTAATTTTTAATTAAAATTATTCTTCCGTATGATTATATAATTTTCAAAAAAAAGAGAATTTAAATAATGGATTTATAAAGAGAACGACTTTATCAGCACATGTTTGATTCCATCCACTGTACTGGATAGTGTCGCCATCTAGAACGTAACGCTCTGTACGCTGTTGCCCTCTATCCTGAGGAATCAAAATCTTTTCAAACAGACGCGTCCTTTAAAGATGTATTACAATCTGAACATCATTCTACCCAATTGAAAATCCTAATGAATACTTCAAAAGATCTATTCATTGATGAAATTTTCATCGACGGATAAAATTGCAAGTTGAAATTCTCTTTTACATTGCTCATAACATAACGCATCGCTTAATGGAATGTATAATATTGTCGCTCATATGAATTCTATAAATATAAATGTAACGATACCGGAGAGAGGATAAAATGTGAATTTTATTATACCTGTGCCCTGGCCTGTTCCCCAACCAAGATAACGTCTCTCGTGGCGTCGTGTAATGGAATATCAGATATAAAAAGTCCTCGACCAGTTAATCCTTCTAGACCGTTCAAGAATGGCGAACTCACAAATAGAATGGAATCCGATTCAGGACAATGGACCATCTGACCTTTCATCTCCAAACCCTGGAATGATTGAAATCCTATTAGTAGTAAAATTTTTGTAACTCTATTCGATATGGATAATATATTCGATGCTTCAACATTTTACAGAAATATCCTAAAAATACGTATAACGTAATACAATCTTCGATCGAATTAGATTTGCATCGATCTTCATAAAGGCTAATTTAGTTTCATCTCGTATTATTCCTTCAAACTTTCAGCAACCGTGACAAAATTTAATCAGAGATTAATCTCGATCCCTGTCACGGTAAAAGTTAAATCTTTGATTTCGTGCATCGATATGCAATTCGGCAAAGGTCTGATCGTTGTACGTGTAATAATTTTATCGATTTGCATAAGAATAACATTGTATATTCAGATACCTCCGCGGGATATTTATCGACGCCCTGCGGTCTTTGTAGGGTGAGCACGAAAGGTGTATTCGCGCGCTTCAGTATCTCATGAAAGATCAAAGTAACTCCGCGTGGTCGTGTAAAAGCGAAGTACGTCGATATTTCTCTTCCTAATCGATTAAGATGATGCCCGAAAATCCTCATAAATCCAACTCCAAGCTGCACCAGCTCTAATTGTCGATCAACCACAAAGTGCCATGGGAAGGCTTTGCAGAAGCTTGCTACCCCCATACGTAGGTCCGTGGCTTCGGTCGACAGTGGACGGAACGGGGACGTAACCGTGTCGAGATTATCGTCGATCTCCGGATCGACCACCAAATGCTCGCTATAGCGCTCTGGAGTGATATGATACCTGCGAAGCAGTTCAGTGAACGTCATTACGCTTGTAGGACGGAGTGCCTCCGGTTAGTGTACAAAGTCGAACCATGTTATAGGTTAGATCAAATTTTGAATTTCAGACTTTCAAATACTTCAATTTTCAAAAAGTATTCAAATCGCCAAACTTCATAACTTTTCAAATCAAATTCCATAGAGGTGCACAAAAGCAACCCCAATTTCTTATCTACTTATTAGATTGCTGATTACTTTTTGAATTCATTCTATCATACATTGTGCGAATCGATTTTCCTTACAAGGTGCCTTAATCAAAACGGAGCTAATTCGAACTAATTACGGAACTGGGCTCGAACTATTTGGACGGTGTCTTTTTCTTAGAAGTAATTGGAAGCTGATTTACTATTTAACGAATTCGTTTCCTATGGGGAATGTATAATGAATTTCTTGAAATCGGCAGGCTGTCCGTATGTTCCTGGTTTAAATGTCTGCAAACATCGGCGATCAATATTTGACCACTTCATAGTGGCGCAATTTCTAGAACTCTTTCAGTATAGGTGTAAATCGAGCGATACGATGTCTACACGCACAGCGGCTACCGATCGAACGAGCAAATACTAAATATTGTTCTTTTGAATGTTATACAGAACTATCGTACATCGGTGCGTATTATTCGTTTCGAGTGTTCCGACGATCAATAAATCGCAAGTTGGCCGTTGGACGTACCAGATTTCAAATACATATTCTCAGCTTAAATCTATAACGGTACATGGAAGCAGAATAAAAAGCAGTTGAGGAGCCGCTTTCTGGATTAAATTCTGCCAACCCTCTTCCTGCGCGTGTGTGACTATGTTTTCGCCTCTGCGTACCAACTTTATTAAAATTTTTATATTCAAATATGCCGTTGCTACAGTTATTTCATTCGCTGGAGATTGTAACTAAGCGCAAAATGAACTATAAAAAAATTCGTTCTGTAAACAAGCATGTACGAGATTTTTCATTGTAGAGGGAATAAAAACAAAAAAACAAAATAAAAAGAATGTAAATGCATTATCGAAAACTACTTACCTAAAAAATTTGGTGTTGTATGGATCGGGTAGAATATGTACATTGGCATCATCGTTATAAAATTGTCTGGCGATGCCCTTTAGGCTACCGACTAATAGATACGCAACAGACGGGTGGTCAGTCGTAAAATGAAGCTCGATCGCTTCCGGCGTGGCAATGCATACGAACTCTGCCTCCGCCTCGGATCCGGACTGGTGTTGCACGACATCGTTCACGCCATCGAGGGTGGTCAGGAAAGCCGTCAGATCGTTCCCGAGGCAACGGAACGCTCTTTCAAGTAGACCCACGCAAGCCGTATAAATCAGCTCCTGGCCAAGCTGATCGAAAAATATGCTCACGTTCACATCTGGAAAAGGTTCGCTGAATTAGCTTCAACTTAGTCGACGTAGTCATTTAGAGTCCTAGTAGAATGGATCTTTCGCAACTGGGGGCGAAGAGTAACGCGAATCGCTTGTTCAGATAACTCGAACGCTGACCTAGGTGCTTTACGTTCGAACAAGTTTCGTGTATGTGGGTCAGGAGTGACCTACAGTATATACTTACCGTTAGATGTTCCTTCGATAGATGCTGAATCGAAGTAGGAATAATTGGCATTTTTCGGAAGGTGAATTGATCGTTTTAATTGGTTCTCGAACTTTGGAAATCGTGGATTTTATAGGATTCGAATAATATAAAAGTTTCAACATGCAGAAAATAGGCAAAGAAAGCTAAAAAAGAAGTATTTGAAACTAGATTGGAAAGTGCATGATTGGAAAATGCTCGGGGGTTTATTGTATCA